GTGTGTCTCTGTCTCTGTGTGTGTCTCTGTCTCTGTGTGTGTCTCTGGCAGTTTGTTGTGAACTTGCTTATTGTTATTTGTTTCCTCAGCATTTGGGAATGCGAAAACGATCCGGAATGATAATTCCAGCCGTTTTGGGAAATATATCGACATCCACTTTAACAGGAGGGGTGCCATTGAAGGAGCCAAGATTGAACAATATCTGTTGGAGAAATCTCGGGTCTGTAGACAGGTAATTACACACGGGCAGGAGGGGAAGGATTGGTGGGTGGGGGGATCTCCTTATTACAGGAAGCACCACTTTGTTTCCTTTTGCAGAAGGAGGAATTGGTGGTTTTAATACTGATCATGTATAAGGATGGAAGGCTTTGCCTTATAAAGCACTCCCTCTGTTTGTGTGTTATGAGTGAAAATAATTATAAGGATACAATGACTCACTCAAATGTTTTGGGGCTCAATAAGTTAATGTTGTTTGTAAGCATGATTATAGATTAAATAAGGTGGCATGGTGGTTCAGTAGTTCACACTGCTCCCTCGCAGCGCCAGGGACCTGGGTTCAATTCTATCCTCGTGCAACTATCTGTGTGGAGTTTGCACATTCTCTCCGTGTCTATGTGGGTTTCCTCCAGGTGCTCTGGTTTCCTCCCACAGTCCAAAGATGTGCAGGCTAGATGGGTTGGCCATAGGAAATGTAGGGATACAGGGATAGGGTAGGGGAGGGGGTTGAGTCTGGGTTGGATCCTCTTCAGAGGGCCGGTGTGGACTCGATGGGTTGAAGGCCTGCTTCCACACTGTAGGGATTGTATGATATAAAATAACTTGGGGGAAATTAAAGCAGTTAAATAAAATAATTGCGTGTTAATAAATGACTAAAATAAGAATTCAAATTGAAAAGAGAAATGCATTTACCAGCTAATGACAACTTTACCAAGATTTAGCACCAGCGTATGAAATGCCATTACTGTACTCCAGCCAAAGCCTTGGCCAATATACAGCTGTTTGGACAGACACCCCAAGTGGTTGCTGCTGTGATTTTGATTGTGTGCACACTGCACTTGCTAGTCAGGTCAGGCTGTCTCCTTTTTTTTTTAAAGATCTTTAATATCCCCGTTTATAGTGTGGATCCTTTCCCAACATCGCCTCTCACCTCCAATCCCCTGCTCTCCCCACCCTACGCTGTACCCTATTTCAGGTGCTGACTGTTAGTTTACAAAATCGACAAGCTGCACAGTCCTACAAAGCAGCTTTTGAAAAAGATCATGTCCAACTTGTGTTCTACAGCTTTTTGTTTAAAGCAGCAATGATTTGGATCCACACCAAATGGTTCTCGTTCTTTCTCTCCAGTCAGCACACCTTTTTTTGTTTTACAGCCCACTGTCTGGAGAAAGATATCTTGTATTTGCTGCATCTCTGCACTTCACTTTCTGTCAGTTGAAGGCCTGGTCTACTGAAACGAAAGTATCAGATTATCTCGCTGGCCCAAGCTTCTCTTGATTAGCATTTGGTTTTTGTCTCTCCTCTTGGTGAGTTCTATTTTGAGGAAAAACCACAGCAGTGATGCTTTCTCAATCCAGGGATTCCATTGGAAGACATGGGCAACATTCACAGTATCTCAGAATTATTGTGGCTCAGAGGAGGCCATTCAGCCCATCAGCTTTAATATCTAGTCTGGCTGTATTACCAACCTTTTTCTACCTCTTCCCCATATCGCTGCATGTCATTACTATCCAAAAAAAAATCCAGTTTCCTCTGAAATGCCTCAGTTGTGCCTCTACCACATTTCCAGGCAATGTTTCTATCCTGTAACTACTCACCGTGTGGAAAAAGATTTGTTTTCTCGCATCACCCTTGCTTTGTTTACACATCACTTGAAATCCATGCCACTTTTTTGTTCTTGTTTTTACAAGCAGGGACATCTTCCTATCTACTCTGCCCAGCCCGCTGACGATTTTGGAAATTTTATTCAAATCTCCCCTCAACTGTCTGTCCAAGGAGAGTGGCCCCAAATTTCTTCATTCTATCCTCATCACTGAAGTTTCTCATTCCTGGAGCTATTCTTGTAAATCGTTTCTTCTTTTCTCTCCCTCCCTCCTCCCCTCCTCCCCTCCTCCCCTCCTCCCTCTCCCATACATTCACATCTTTCCTATAATGTGGCCCACATCTGTGCACTGTTGAACGTGTCTTGTACAAATTCAACATCACCTTACTCTTGTGTTCTATGCCCCTATTAATAAAGCCAAGAACAATGTCTGCTTTATTTTACTGCTCTCTCCACCTGTCTTGCCACCTTCAATAAATTGTACACATTATACACCCAGCTCCCTCTGCTCCTGCACTCCCTTTAGAATTGTACCCCCTACTTTATTGCTTTTCAGTGTATCTACCTACTCTGAATTTGTTGTACAAAGGTTTTCTTGAACCTTTTCCTTAGGTGAGTATGGTCCTAGTTATGACCAGTATCATGTCCATGTGAGGAAATTCTGGAATTGGTGGTAGTGACATGCATAAGTTACAAGAGCTGGCACTCTATAGAGAAGTGTAGACCCAAGGTGATTTTCTTTTTGTTTTGTTTTTTTTTTTGAAAGCAACACAATGAAGAAATAATGATATTTGTTGAGATGGATTGTTCCTATTAAATAGGTAGCTTAGAAAAAGAAAATCACCATCTGTTGCTTCAATGCAAAAGACTTCATGATATTTATTGTGGACTGGGATCAATAGCCGTGTCCATTAGGATTGCTACACAGACTTGCAAAAGTTCCAAAACTACTGCTCTCAGCAAGGAGAAGGGGGATAGGGCTGAGTTCATATTTGATTAACAGCTTCAAAAGGCTGTTGAAGGACCCACTGTCTGGCTACTGAATAGAGGTTTGTTTGTTTGTTTGTTTGTACAACTGACAATTAGAGGGCACTTAAAATATTTGTTTCATGAATAAGTTTCTTTAATATTTAACATGTATGAGGTAGCATTCCTTTGGGTTGTTTGCAATGTATTCTCTTTTTTCATCCCCAAACTGTTCTTAGGCTGTTCCTATTGAGTATGCATTCTATTGAAGGGGTATGGAGAAGCACTGGGGAGGGGGCTGAATGGCCTAACAGCATTGAATAAAACTGGCTGAAACCTTGGAAAACTGAAGCGAGCAGGTGGGAGTGGTTTAGTTTTGGGATCAGGGTTGGCATGGACTAGTTGGACTGGGGTCTGTTTTCATGTCGTTTTTGACTCT